TTTCGCCGGCAGCTCTTAGAGGCTGTTGAGCGTGAAATTTACCGCCACGACCAGAACTTCCACTTTGTCCGATCACACTACCCGAGCCGTAACGGCTCAGATCAGCATCATGATTATCACGGCGTCCCTGGCTTTGTTGCTGGAAAAAGCGTTGACGCTCCTGCTGCTCATCTCGAGCAACTTCAGCAATAGAGCGTTCATCTGCATAACGAGGGCGCTCGGCCGGCAGCGAGAGTCGCTCATCGGGAAGATGCATCCCGATTGAGCGTTTTTCATGTCCACGATTGCCCCCAGAACGTTGAGATACACTGCTTTCCATACTGATTCCAATATGAGGCGACCGAGAACGCGACCGAGGTCGGCTCCTTGACGATCCTCCGTACTTTGAAAATCGCGGCGGGCTTCGACTATGGCTGCGCGACAGCTGCAAAGCACTATTAGGTGAGGGTGGTTGCATTTTGCCACACCCCTCCAGCATAGGTTCGCCGCGACGATATGATTGACGAACATCTTCCGAATTATGGCGGTAATCACTTGAGCGCTGCTTTCCAGATTCATTTTTTCGACTATGTCTCGACCCAAAAGAAGGAGATGGGAATCCGCCGCGATGTGAACTTCTGTGGCTTTGAACTTCCTCCGGAAGTTCGCGGTGCTTCCGAGAGCTTTCCATTGGGCGCGGCTCCATCCAAGAAATGCCGCGCCCGTGAGATCGCCCGCGTATCTCTTCATCAAAGACACTTCTCTCGTGGCTTCGATTGTCGATCGGAGATGGAGATCGATGCGCATATTTGCTTTGAAGCTCACGATAATTCTCTTTATCGGAAAATGTGCCATATCCACCATCACCTGCACCAGGCTTTGACTGCATTACAGGAGAATGCGAACGCGATCGAGGAGCTCGGCGTTCTCTCGTCATTCCAATCATTGGAGCGTCGTAACGACCACTACTATGGTGCACCTTAGGAGAACGAGATCGTCCGCGGAAACTTTCACGATCATTCCTAAGTGAGCTGCGTTCATCATATTTCAGCGACATCACTTGGTCATGCTCCCGGCGTCCATTTGGACCATCCATAAAAGTTTCATCTTCTCTGTAATATGTATTCTTACTGCGATCGTCGTCATCACCGCCAACTGCGACCACAAATAACGAACAGGCGATTCAAGTCAGAAAATTACATCGCCGGATACAATCCAATACGATACTCCAATATTTGCTGCATCAATCTTACCAAGTCGTCCTGACTTCAACGCAAATCCCTGCTTTTTCTGCGCATTAAAGCCGCGGCGCGTCGAATCAATCGCAAACTGCTCCTTAATATCATAAACCGGTAGAATGCTGTATCCCATCACAGTAAAAAGTTGTTTTCGAATTGCTGCTTTGGCATGTTCAACGTTACGAAAGCGCACACAGCCCTTCTCTGCAAATGTTAACGGGCCAAACTGTTCCAGTTGTTGACACAGGTCATTCCAAACATCTGGATCGCATTTAGTAAAGTCAAAGTCGCGGACAGCATCTTTGTCTTCCATTCTTACGTTGTCTGCTGTACGCTCCACAAAAAGCAACGTGTCTACGGGGGGACCACGCGCAAAATTTGCATTCAAATAATTGCGGCCTTGAAATTTGTTTTCGTTTACAAAGTGGATCGCTAAACGAGCGTGCTCAATTGTCGGCATGCTAATGAATGCGTAAGCATTCGCGTTGAAATCGGGCTCTTTAATCTGCACTTTCATTGTGTCAATCTCAGCCGAGATGGGCGATAAAAATTCAACAATATCTGCGCTGGGAGTGTGGCGGGGAAGGCTTCCCAAAAAGAGATATGGACAAGGAGGACAGTTGCGCGGTGATTGTGCACTAAATTTTGGGCGCCTGCCTTCGTTCTCAACAATTCGGTCGCTTAATGTCTTTTCTTTCCAGGAGGACGTGTCTTCGTTGCTATTGTCATGAGCATTGCTCCAGTCACGGTTCAACTGCACAATTTTTCCTCTATTGCTTTGAAGTCCGCTAGACTCGTCATCAAATTTAGGCTTCTTATTCTCGCGCTCGGCCGAAAATACACCATCGTTAGCTTGAGTCACGTCGCGCAAATGCTTGCGACTTTGCTCTAAGGGCGGTGACATGTTAATGTTTTTGTCATTATCGGCAGCGTTGATACTGGATTGACTCAAAACTTGTTGTAGTCGCTCTTCCAGCGCCTGTCGCAAAGGCGTCACTTGGCGCAAAATGACAGGGGATTTTTCGTTGTCCAACATTTGGATCACGTTTTCTTCAATACGCAACATCCAGGTTCGCGTAACAATGTGCGCGACAGAGGAGGCAGATGTGGGCGTTGGGGCGATTGCCGTGGCGGGGGGCGTTTTGACAATTTGGAGCAAAGCGCGAAGCGTATGGATACGCACAGCCTGAGAGCGCTTGGATTCACAAAGCTTAAGCAGAACGTCCACCACATTCAGCTGAACGTGCGGAAAGTGGAAAAAATGTTTATGAAGAAGTTGCGCCGCCAAGCTGAGGACAACGTCATTCGCGTCGTCCACGCTGGCCGCATGAATAATCTTTTCGTAAGCGTCCTCGGCTTTATCATCGTCACGTTTAGGGTCGTCGGTGGCTAACGCCGAGACATCCTCGATCTCAGAGTCCCACGCGTATAACTCTGTCAGCATGTCCTCAGCCATTTTGATCTTGTGACTTGACTCTTGTAACCCCCTCCACGAATTTTTTTCTGTAGATTGCTCGTTCGGTAATTTGCGTGTGGCGACATAACTTTTACCCTACGTGGCAGTACGTAGATTAGATAAATAAGGACGGTAAACTTTAAGGATTTTTTCAAACCTAAATAGCAAGCAGTACGTAAATAAGATAACAAAGGGGACGATAAACTTTCAGGTGACACTCACCCTTGTTACCAGAGTACGTGTAACCGT